AAAACTAAAAAACTGCTGATAAGGTTTTATGTCACTTAAACAGTCTCTAACGGTAACCTGGTTCTCTTTACATGCTTGTCTTCTCATCTAAAACAGGTACTGCATCTTCCACTTAAGAGGGAGAAAACATAGATAAGTTTTGGCTTGTCCTTTTCGTTTTCATCTTCTTACTCTAAATATATGCACACAATCAGTATCTCAGCAAGATCATCGAATTTCCTTCCAACATGGTCCTTACCTCTGTATATAAGTTTTATTTGAAAAGTCCTTGCAGGTACTCCGTTGATGAGATTCTACATTTGTCTCCATCAGAGGTAGCTTTCCAACATAAGTTTCCCAAAGCATGGCCTTGAATTGAATCTTTTCAGTGTTTTGCTCATTATTATCTGAACTACTTGATGTTTTTATTATATCAAGATATTGGCTTTATATAAACACACATATATATGTGTACGTAACATATCTATATACACAGTACTTCACTTGCATTATTTCTTATATAATCATATTCATGGGGATAAGACTCACTTTTAAAATGTGGTAAATATTTGAAATTAATGATATGAAGGGAAGACTACAATCTGATATTTTTTATATGTGAGTACATTTTGACTTACTAAACAGCATTTGTAAATTATTAAATATATACATGTAAGTATAGTTTTTATGATTCATTTTTAACTTCAGATAAATTTCTAATAAAGATTTAGAATAAATATATCTGAACATTTTCATAGAAACAAATAAGTAACAAAAGTTGGATACTATTGTGTTAAAATTTGCAATATGTCATTGGTTCATTCAAATAAAAATTTATTTTAGAACATATTTTTATTTATGAAAGGTTTTGATGCTCCCAAATTGTTTTCATGTTCTCTACATTTGATTTTTTTCTACCACTAATTTCTTATATTAGCATGATACATAATAACAATGAACCTATTTTTATATGTTAACTAATGTCTTTCCCATATGCACATTTCATTGGATTTAAATTTTCTATGTGTTTAAAATTAATTTTAAAATTAAACTAGGAATAAGAAAATCACTGAAGTTGTGCTGTAGAGTTTGTTTAGCATTTCAGAAAACTGGCAGGTCCTGCAGAGAATCCAGGATCTCTTCTAAGTACCCACATGGAGGCCCACAATCATCATTATCTCCATTCCTAGAGTATGGAAGCCCTATTCTTAGACATGT